TCCCTCAACACTCATGCTCTTCTCCTCAGCTTTAATGTCATTTATTGGTGGTCTGTGGCTTCAGCTCCTAAAGCCACGCCAAGCACATTCTCCATGGAGTGGACTAATGGCCTCACTGGTGTGTGATGCCCTATGGGGAGATGACCGGGGTCACAGCTGGCCGTGCGCATCTCCACATCTCCGTGGTCCAGGGATCTGCCCTGGCTGGGACGGAGTTTATTTGGGGGTGGGGGGAGGTAGGGACAGGATGTGAGTCTCCAGGACGCCTCAGGGTCAGCAGGGTATGTTCTCAGGCTCTGTGGCAAGGAGGAATGTTTCTCCATCTGTCAGGGCCAGCTGTGGCTTGGGGACCAAGGGCAGGGGCTGCAGAAGGCCAGTAGAGGGGAGAGGAGAAGCCAGGCACTGGAGGCAGCTGCAGAAACCATTAAATACAACTTAGAAACAATCTGGGCTTTGGGAGCAGGATAGAGCTGTGCGGCGGCAGTCAGGGTGGGGCGGTGTGGGCCCGGTCCTGGCGGGGGCTCAGGCTGGGGTCATCTGTGCGGCTGGGCTGTGGGAAGCCTGGCTGCTTGTGTAGGCCCCGAAGCTTGGCCAGCAGCTCCTGGACGAAGTCCTAAGGACAGAGTGGGGTTCTGAGAACAGAGCAGGAGACAGCCCTCCCATCCCATGCCAGCCAGCGCCTCTTCAGGCATCAGCCTCTTCAAAGCAGGAGCTGGAGCCGGTGGAGAGGACAGGGAGACTAAGATAGACAGGGGAATGGTGTGTGTGTGTATGTATGCGTGTGTGTGTGTGTGTGTGTGTGTGTGTGTGTGTGTGTGTGTAAGAGGGTGCAGTGGTTAACAGCACTTGTTGATCTTCCATAGGACCCAGGTTCAGTTCCCAGACCCACATGGCAACTCTCAATCATCTGTAAATCCAGTACCAGGGGATCCAGCACCCTCTCCCAGTCTCCATAGGCACCAGGCATGCATTTGGTGGTACATGGACATACATGAAGGCAAAACACATATCCACATAAAATGAACTACAGAGAGAGGGAGATGGAGAGACAATCTAAGACCCAGAGCTGAGAGAGAAGTATGGACAGACACAGGCTCATACAGAAGATGTTTCTCATGCTGAGGAGCAGTCCCCAGAGACCAGGTCTGAGCCAGCTCTAGGCAGACTGACAGGCAGTGACGTTTGTCCCTCAGGCAGCTAAGAGCAGAGGGAGAGCCATGAATATTTTCCCTTTTAAAGCAGGGAAGGAAGTGGGGGTGGCTGGGCTGGCCTGCCCAGCTCCGGGACCTGCAGGATGAGAGGGGCCCCCAAGAGGTAGACGGGTAGAGACAGTCACAGGGGACAGAGATGGAGAGCGGGTGAGCCCCCCAAACAACCAGGACAACCAGCAAGGGGCCGGCACCAGATGGGCAGAAACAGCCTCTGGGGGAGGGGCTCTGAGGCAGCTGCCCGTGGCTCGGGCGCCAGATGGGAGGTAGGAGGAGGAGACAAGACAACAAAGAACAGGACAGAGATGGGGGCCTGCCTCCGCCTCCTCCATAAAGGTGAGGGGACCGACCCCGTAAGAACAGAAACTCACCTCCGTGGGATTCGTGCAAGATTCCAAGAGTCCCTATGGGGTGTGGGTGGGGACAAAAAAAAAAATACAAGAAAACAGTAAATGACTGACACATCTATTCCCTTGGAAGCCCTCCCCTTCCCCAAGGGAACAAGACAAAAGAACGCCCAAAACTACCCACGTGGCTTCAAGCGGGTACACAAGACATGAGGCAGGACAGGTCAGAAGACTGGAAAGCCAAGCCTCTGCAGGGAGGTCAGAGGGGAAGGAGATGGCAGCCAGACAGTCTGCATTTGGCTCCTAGCTCTAGTCAAGACAAGCTGTGTGTCCCTGAGCAAATAATCCAACCTCTCTGGGCCTCATTTTCCTTATGGTGGTAAACGTGTCTCCTCTGTAGTGTTTTGCAGAGGATTTAGTGTCTGGCACAGGAAGTGTTTAATAAACATGTCAACTTGGGCTATTCCGTTTAGGGCTCTGCAAAATGTTGGACTGGAGTGGGGGAGGGGCCCTTTCTCCTTTCTCGCCAGGTACCTGGATTTTCTGACTTCTTTCCTCTTCACTGTCCAATTCCAACAGCTCGTCGATGTTGACCTCATCTGGCATATCTGACTCCTAAGGTCAGGGAGAGCAGGCTGGTCAGGGCCCATGACTCCCCATCCCCTCTGTCGTCCCCCCCCCGCCCCCGCCCCCCACAGCCTTTTGAACAAGGCTCTGGAGGTACACACTCCATCAACCCCAGGCCCAGCTGGGCCTGCAGCAATAATGTGGCAGCCAGGGACAGTACCACTGAGACAGACATCTGGGCGTTGGGGGGTGGGGTGGGGTGACAGATGGGTGGAAGGAGGCCCAGGCCCTGGTACCAGCCCGATGCCTGCACCCTTGGCTCGGGCCCGGGGGCCTCGGGGCTGGCACAGGGCTCTCTCCTTGGCTGCAGTTCCTACTCGGCAAAGCAGGCCCAGTCGAGTCTCGGAATGTCAGATTCTGGGATTCAGGTTGGCTTCTGCCCTTTCAAGGGAAAGTCTTACTTAGTCGTGGGTGTGGGGGAGGGGAGCCTGCCGGGGCGGGCCCCTTCCCCTGGGGACCAGAAGGGCTTCTGGGCTTAGGGCCAGCCAGGCCTCCCTGGGCTACACTGCGGTCTGCTGGGTCAGTGACCACCTAGACTCCGCTCCGTGTGGTGGGCTGTGAACAACAGTGGTCTCTGAGGGAAGGCTAGAGCTCATGGCGCACTGGTACAAAAGATGTCTAGTCATGGTGGAGATAAGACCCAGCTGTCAGGGGCCAGAGGCCGCTTGGGCCTAAGCCACTAGTTTCCTAGCCTGCAGCCTAGCCGGGGAGTGTGGAGGATGAGTTCTCTGGCGTCCATGTGTGCTGGGCCTCATGGAGGTAGCTTTGTTCAGAGGCCTACATGACCTGGGTGAATGTATCTCAATCCGGACATGGTAAACTGTAGGGACCACCTTTATCGATTTGTTTATTTATTTATTTTAAGATAGGGTCTGGGTATCTTTGGCTAACCTCGAACTCGCAGAGATCCACCTGCTTCTGCCTCTACTTCTGCCTCCTGAGTGTTAAGTCTAAAGGGTAGGTATGCACCATCATGAGAGGTTTGTTTCAGAGTTTTTGGACAGGGTCTCTCCTTATCCAAGGTTGGCTTTGAACTCCTAACCCTCCTGCCTCACCTCCTAAGTGCTGCGATCACAGGAATGAGCAGCTACGCCCAGCGTGGTTTCCTAAGGTCCTAATTCCTGAGGCACCTGTAGCGGTTTCAGCTGTGACTATAATTTCCACAGACGTGTGTGTCTACAGGGCTGACATCTGTCCCTGGGTTTGTAGGTCCCGTGTAACTTGACTCACTTTGTGTCCCAGGATATCTATGGGAGCTTTAGCTTAAACTGCTATGTGTCTCTGTACAGCTGAAACTCACTTGGCATTGAGGGTGACTGTGTTATGTGTTCATGTTATTGTGTCCACGGCAGACCATGCTGTCCCTTAACCTGAGCCATTTGTGTGTGGCTCACTACTGGTGCTGTTTCTACGAGTGGCCGTGACTTCCGTCATCTGTGTATACTGTTGCTTCCTCTGCTGACAGTCTGTGCTGTCCTATCTGTCTAGTCACCCATGTCTATGGTTGGCTTAAGGACATCCCCTCTCCCTATCCGTTCTCTCAAGATGTTAGTTCTGCCCCCCCATTCTTTCTCATCTATATAGGATCCCCCCCACCCCCGTTTCCCCAAGTGTTTGAATGTACACATGTCTGGGGAACCTGGGTGCGTGTTTCTGTGTGTCTACAAGCTAGATGCCCCCGGGGCACAGAGACCAGGGCCTCAGGACATGTGTCCTCCTAGCAAAGGTCGCTGCCGGTGCATCAGTGAGCATGTACCAGGGTCACCAAGGTCGCAGGGTCTCTGCTCTGCTCCAGGGCCGGTGTCTCAGGCCACCTCCGTCCCACAGCCCTGTTCCCTCTGGGTCTCACCTTGCCGCGGTACAGCTCCTCCAAGCGTCCGTCGATCCACTTCTCCACGTCCAGCCGCCGCTGCAGCTCCCGCCGGTCGTACTTGACGGTGACTCGCGCGTGCCGCTTCTGCAGCCCACTGGGGCTGCCCCCCGGGCCGCGGGCCCGCGATGGGGACTGAAGCTTGCTCAGCACGCGCTTGCCCAGCCGCTGCGCTGCCATGGCCTGGCTGCCCGCTGTCCCCACTTTGCGCCCTGCCTCGAGCTCGGGGCTCTTACGGGCCGGGGCGGGGCTGCCGGGGGCGGGGGCTCGTGCTCTGGGGCCCGCCCCGCTCCGGTCGCCTCAGTTTCCCTTCCTGCAGAGGCGAGCAGGCTAATGTGCAGGCTTCAAGCCAGGATCCTGTGGGATGCAGATGGGCGGGGGGCGGGAGGCTCAGCTCAGAGCGCTCGGGGTCCACATCCCGGGGCGGGGTCCCGGGACACATTCTCTGGGGTCCGCCCCGTGCGCCCTCTGGCGGCAGCGAGGGGTGCTGCAGGGGCGCCGGAGCTCCGCTGTGAGGGGTTGACAAGCGGCTTCTCTTTAACCACATCTGGCCTTGAACTCCTAAATCTCCTGCCTCAACCTTCTAAGGGATTCGGTTCCAGATTCGAGCCGCCACACCCAACTCTTCTTTTTTGTTTCCTAGAGGCTGATCAGAGACGGAACCTGTGAGCTCAGGAATGCTAATCAAGTCCTCCTAATGAACGAACCATCATCTTTTAGTTACCTCACTCATTGATTCACGTATCCACCCACCTATGCATTCATTTATTCACTTCCTCCAGCACACAGTATTTGTTGAGTGGTGTCAGCTGCCTGTAACCCTGGCACTTAGGAGGTGGTGGCAGGAGGTTCGGGAGTTTATGGGCTATATAGTCAGTTTCTGAGTTCCAGGACAGGCTGAGCTGCAGACCCTTCCTTAAAACAAAACACCAAGCCTAGAAGGGCGAAATGGCTCCACTGGTAAAGGGGCTTGGTGCTATGCTAAGGACCTGATTGTCTCAACTCCTGCAAGTGATTCTCAGACCAGTACACACACACACACACACACACACACACACACACACACGTGCACACACAAATAATTTTTTAAAAAGCCACACATGATGAATTTCAGCTTCTGAAGTGGGGCGGCAAAGACAGTACTTGAGAGGCTGAGGCAGGAGGGCAGATGAAAGGTCAAGGTAAGCCCTAGTAGCTACATAGGGAGAACTATCTCAAAGATGGGTTGGGGGAGCATGGAGAGATGGCTTAGCAGTTAAGATCACTGGCTGCTCTTGCAGAGGACCTGGATTCAGGTCTCAGCACCCATGTGGCAGCACAAACCACCTGTGTGGTGCTCAAGCATGCATGCAGGCAAAACACTCATGCACATAAAATAATCTTAAAAGAAAAAAAGATGCATCCACTGCTCCTGATGCTTTTGGTATTTGTTCCTTGTCTTTTCTTTTTTTCATTCTTTTTTCCTTTCTTTTCTTTTTCTTGGTTTTTCCGAGACAGGGTTTCTCTGTGTAGCTTTGGAGTCTGTCCTGAAACTAGCTCTTGTAGACCAGGCTGGCCTCAAACTCACGGAGATCCTCCTGCCTCTGTCTCCCCGGTGCTGGGATTAAAGGCGATCGCTCCTAAGAGCACTGTTTTCGGTGATAATGCGATCATTTAATTACCTAATTATCTTGGCGGTGTCTTCTACCCCGTCAGTTTTGCTTCGTTCATCCGGTTTATGTGCACACTTTTCCCAGAATCCCCGCCCCCCCCCCCCGCCCCGTCTTTCCAGGCAGTCCCCGGCCTGACGGGCCGTCGGGCTGAACGGAGAACCCCTGTGGGCCGGCTCCTATCCCGCACTGGTTTTCACCGCCTCAACCTCTGCCCCTGCTCACTCAACCCCAGGTTTTCCCCATCGCATTCCTGATCACTCTTCCCTCTGCTTCCGCATCACTGCTCGGGGCTGCTCCTGTCTGACGACACGCAGGCCAGTCTGGCGTGGTCACTTCTGAGTCCGGGGCATTTAGTCCAGGCTCAGAGATTGCTGAGTTTAGGCAGGATAAAGCCCTAGCCCGTGCTGGAAGGTGAAAGCAAGGCGAGCAGAAAGCCTTGGGTCCCCAAAGCTGTGCGTGCCTGTGTGTCTGTTGCCCCGGTCCCGCCAGGGCCGACTGGGGGCGGGGCAGACGCAACCACGCCTCCTTCCGTGAGCCGGGGGCGGTCCCAGGTGAAGAGGGAGAGCGGCGGCTCAGGTGCCCGCCCTCCGCGCCTGCGCCGTGTGCGCCCCGCCCCGCCCCGCCCCGCCAGGTGCGCTCCACCCCCAGCCTGGCCGCCGCCGCCGCGGACTTGCCCGCGATCGCCATTCGCCGTAGCGACCCCCGGGCGTTTGGCCGTGTGGAGTCCGAAGTCCCGGGACCGTCGGCGAGCGCCGGGGCGTGTTGGGAACCGACTGAGGCGACGTACGCGCCAAAACCCTGAAAAAGGGGGCTTGCTGGGGTCCGCGCGCCTCGCGGTCCGCCGATCGCCCCCTCCCCTCCCACGCACGCAGCCGCCCCTGAGCTCGCGGGCCTCCAGCGCGGCCGTGGGCTCCCCCACGCCTGCCCGGGACACCCTAACGGCCGGTGGCTCGAGGCCAGGCTCGCGGCGCGGGCGGCAGGTCATGGCGCAGCAGTGTGGGCCGCGGCGGGGCCGGGCGCTCCTCGCCCTGTTAGCTTCGCTGCTGCTCTCCGGGGCCGAGGCGGCCGGCAGAGACCTAGACGTCCACGGTGAGCGCCCCGCGGGCATCCAGGAGGCGGAGGGGGGCGGAGGGGGCCGCAGCCGGTGGGGGGGGGAGCGGCGGATAAAGTGGGGCCGGTGCGCGAAGGAATCGCAGGGTCCTTGGGGATGGCGAGGGGGTGCGGGGGGTGGCGGTGGCGGAGCCAGACCTGCGGGGGGAGCGGCGGAAAGGTGGGGGACACATGAGAGTGAACGGCGAGCGCGGAGGTGTAAGAGCAGGCAAAGTGCCCCTTGGGAAGGGAGCTGAGGGACATTGATCCAGGAAGGCGTGGCGCTGGGCTCTCCGGTGGCAGGAAGTGAGCGAGGAACTCAACGAAGCGGAAACTGCAGGGCCAAAGCAAGCCGGGCTGGGGGTGGGGGCAGCCGGGCTGCAGAAGAAGGTGGGGATTGGTTTGGCTGACCCGCTGGCAGCTTTGGGTACAGGGAAGACGCTCCTAGGACACCTGTTGTTAGGAGGTAGGGCAGCAGCCTTCCGAGTGATATCCGAAGGAAGGAAAAAAGCCGTGGCAGATGAGGAGCTTTGCCAGGGTGCCAGCCAGGGCCTGGGCACCTGGTGGGAGAGAGTGGACATTGGCGTTCAGCAGCCGGGGTCGTCAAGTGTTGTCAGTACTTTAAGGAGCGCTAGCCAGCTTTGAAAGGGTCTCTGTTGAAGGAATCCATTGATTCGCAGACTCGTGGAGTGCCTGCGACAGTGGTGTGGCAGCCCTGGTGATAGGCGTGGACTCAGACAAGACAGGTTCTTCCATCCACAGAGCTTGGATTCCAGTGCGAGAGACCGCGGGCAAACACTCCAGTGCGGAGTCCTTGCCAAAGATTTGAATGACTAAATGGCAACGACAGACAGGTGGGAAGAGGTGATAGGTGGGGGGCACCTAGCTGGGACAGTGTCTGAGTCCTAACAGGAAGCTCGAGGAGGTGGCAATCGTACCAAGATTTTGGGACCAGGGTCCTATGGGAGTAGTGGAGAGCAGAAGCCTTGGTCCATAGTAAACTTGGTCGTCGTGATCAAGGGAAAGACAGGCCCCAAGAAAAGATCAAAAATGAGGAAGGGGAAGAGAGGAGTGAGCAGCAGCTGCACTGCCCAAGGCCTTCTGGTCAACCTGTTGGATGAAAGGGAAGGCAGGCAGCCAGGCAGGCTACCCCTTATGGTAGCTTCTGAGAAATGGTTTATCCCTGTGTATAAGACTGGAGAAAAAAAGTTGGGAATGAGAAGGGCCAGTGGGAAGAGGCTCGGCTCTAGATCCAAAGTCAGGAACTCAGCTGTTGATCATTGTGGCATAAAGCAGCCTCCCGCAGCCCTTAGGAGCTTTTTCAGAGGAAGACATTATTGTCTCTGGCGTTACCTGCCTGTGACGACAGTTGGTTAGGACTTCTCGCTTCTGCATGCTCTCTAAGCCTGGAACCAGCCTGATGTGGTGCTGCCACAGGCCTTTAGAAGGTTGTACCATGCTAATTGATGAGGCTGCGCTCTGCCGAGCAGACCTTGCCTGTTCGCTTTGGTCTGACTGCTGCCGCTGGCCAGACCTGCTGACCTTTCTGAAGTATGGCTGTCTATCTGCGTGAACTACTGCCCTCACTTATCTCGAGTGCTGTTTGTCTGAAAGCTTCAACAGCTTCATCTGAGGCAGGAGGCGGGTGAGTGTGTGTGTGTCCTCTATTTGCTTAGGTTTTTCTGTGAGCAAAGTCATGTGCTCAGGTGATGTGTTTCTCTGGCACATTTTGCTGACCAGTGCCAACAAAGGAAAGTGAAGGAGCGAGAACAGGAGTGATTATGAAAGTCTGTTCATGGAATTTTATCCCCACCAGTGGTCGAGGGGCAGCGGAAAGGTGGTAGGTAGGGCCGGCAGGTAGAGAGTTGAGGTTCTGGAAGCAAAGACTAGAAAACTAGATAGAATGGTGATGACACCGAGGTTCTGGAGAAATCTAAATGTTAGTGTTAGACTGACAGTGATGTAGGGACAAGGTCTTTGGAGGACACACAGAAGAGGCTCATTTGTTTGACTGGAACCACGCACGCACGCACGCACGCACGCACGCGTGAAAACAGACAGCCCCCGAGACAATATACCCCCAGTGAGGGTTCTGGAGAGGAGAGGACCTGGGTCATCAGATGGCACAACCTTCTGATGATGGATGGTTTGGCTTTGTTTTTTTCCACAAGAGGTTAGGGGAGTGTGGAGGGGGAATGGTTTGGAAGCAGGGGTCTAGATTCTGGTAGAGAAAGGTGTCACGGTGGTTCAAAGGCGGTGGAGAGATGGCTCAGTGTTCTTGCAAAGGATCTATCAGTTCAGTTCCCAGGGACCACAGGATGGCTTACAACCATTTGTAAACCCAGCCCCAAGGGACCTGGTGCTCTCTAGATGTCCTCATTCATCAGGTACACAGTTGGTGCATATATATACATGCAGGCAAAACCCCATACATATCAATTTACATTAAATTTACTGTTTCTATTTGTTTTTTAAATAGAGTTTCTCTGTTTAAACAGCTCTGGCAAGCCGAACATTGGTGGTGCACCTATAATCTCAGCATTCGGGAGGCAGAGACAGGCAGATCTCTGAGTTCGAGGCCAGCCTGTTCTACGGAGCAAGTTCCAGGACAGCCTCCAAAGCAATACAGAGAAATCCTGTCTCGAAAAACCAAACCAAAACAAAAATAAACAGCCCTGGCTGTCCTGGAACTTTCTCTGTAGCTCAGGCTGTCCCAGAACTAGATCCACTTTAACTCTGCCTCTTGAGTGCTGGATTAAGTTTTTCAGAGTTCAGAAAAAGACTGACAAATGGAAAGATGCTGGGGTTGGATGGAGACAAGGACTGAGCAGGCTGTTGCGGGTTCATGGAGAGCCGTGAATGGGTGTGGTTGATGTTTTACCTGACTTGGCGGTGTTGTGGCTGAGGGCAGTGGGAAGGGTGTGGTAGCCTCACTTAGGCAAGCAGGGGAAAGCTGGTCTTGCACCTGGTGTTTCTTTCCAGCATTGAGGGAGTCTCAGTCTGCCATGGGGATGCAGGAGGCCCTACAAATAAGATAATTGTGTGATTTCCAAAGTTGGGAATTTCTAATGTTTAAACGTTTTAGTTGGGGTCATTGCCTGAAGATCTGATAGGTAAGACCTGAACACAATTGCAGGCCTGTGTTCCCACATAGACATGGCGCCCATGGGCCAAAGCCAAGAACCTTTGTGAGACAGGACACTTCCAAGTCTCTGATACTCCTCCTCTGTGTTACTTGCCTTCCCTGTATGTCTTGGGCTGTGGCCATATCTCAGGACTGCACTCCCTGTAGTAAAGGAAGTAGTTACCCCGATGGTTCTTGAGGGCCATGCTACTTCCTAAAAGAGGAAAAGCTGCTTTACCAGAGGGTTCAGTTCCTTAGGCCTTGGGTGATCATCCTGATGTTTAAAGGGCCCTGAATTTTTTCTTTTTAGGACCGAGGGTTTGACTTACAGTCTCATCTGTGCCAGGCAAGCACTTTGTATGCTTTTTACATGTATGTTTGTTATTTTGAAGCAGTGTCTTATATGGCCTAGACTGGCCACATGTACATGCTGAGGATGACCTTGAACGGATCTTCCTGCCTCTGCTTTTCTAGTGTTGGGACTATAAGTATGTGTCATCATGCCTGATGGCTTCTTTATTCTGAGGCTGATGCCACGTTGCCTGGGTTGGCCCGGAACTCCTCCGATAGCCTAGGTGGACCTTGCACTTGGGACCTTTTACTTCAGCCTCCTGATACCTGGGATGACGAGCTTGTGCCACCAACCTTGGCTGAAATAGTGTAATTTTAGTCATAATTACAGGGTCAGATAATACACTTTTCCCAAGTTGAAAATTCCCTTAAGAGTCACCACTTAAGTCTAGTTCCTGCTGCCAGGAACTGTTAGCTGCACCTCCGGCATTAGCTATTAATGGTTACTTGATCTGGCTTCTTTGCTGATGGTTCTTGGGAATTTCCATTGGAGCTGAGCCCAGCAATGTTCATTCCAGAGCCTCCGATGACTTTGAAACAGCGTCAGGTTCCATTAGCCTCCTGGGTTAGTTACAGCTTCGCGACACCTAAACTGGCATGCTTTTCCCCCTGTCCCCGAAGCATGCCATTAGTCCCTGGCATTCCTCTCCTTGCTCACAAGGACCCAGATGGTCAGCGTAGCACCTTAGGAGCTGAAGAGTGTCCGGACTTGGTATCAGCTGGACACATTGAAGAGGTGGTTGTCCTGCCCGTGGGCAAGGCTGTTTGAAATACATATTAATTTAGCCAACATATACTTAGTAAGTACCTGCATTATAAAGGATGAGTACAAAGTATATGTCACCTTTAGAACCTCAGGGTTAAACCATTGTTTTGGGAGACTGAGGCAGGAGGATCACTTGAGACAAGCCCTGGGCAATGTGGTGAGACCTCTCTCAAAACAAAAACAGAACAAAACAGCACAAGTCCAGGCGAGGTAGAGGCTGGTCCGCAGTTCAGCGAGTATCAGGCTGGGCTGACAGCATACATGAGTCTCAGCAGACAAGAACGTTTTCAGCAAAACAACCCTGAGTGTCTTCTTGTCCAGGTTCTCCGCTTTCATGAAAAACACTCATGCCAGGCGGTGGTGACGGCGCACGCTTTTAATTCCAGCACTTGGGAGGCAGCGGCAGGCAGATCTCTGTGAGTTCGAGGCCAGCCTGGTCTACACAGCGAGTTCCTGGACAGCCTCTAAAGCTACAGAGAAACCCTGTGTTGAAACTCCCACGCCACCCCCCCCCCCCAAAGAAAAAAGAACAAATGTAAGGGGCGTAAATGTCTCAGAAAACTGAGCCGAAGGACCAGGGGTGTGAGCCCCTTCTCAGCTTCGTGAGGCCTGTCTCAAACACCCTCAACAGAAAATGTTTTCTTTTCGGGGGTGGAAAACACACCAGCTGTGCAGACAGTAGCTCAAGTCCAGCTTCCTTATTTCCCCAGCTTCCCTCACTCTGACCCCCAACTCCTTGTGTGGACTCCTATACCAAGG